CCCTTAAAAGACCCTGAGGGCTGTCCTGGGAACTGACCCCCAATATCTCCCCTCGACCATGGCCTCCATTAATCCCCTTTTGAAAGAACCCAATAGCTCCCCTGGTAAGTTACCCTTAAGAAATTGCCGAGATCTCCCATTGACCCTCTTCAAAACACCCAACTCACGTTCAAACGGTTTTCCTCACTTTGTCAACAAAATAACCCTCCAATCAATGAATTATGGCAAATTCCAACATCAATGTTTCAAGTTCTTCCCAACCCTACTTGTCGCTCACTTCAATCACCTATTTGGAGCCAACTTCTGATAATGGCCGTTTTCGTAAATGAAGTCTGCGGCCTTAGTTATCACTCGTGGTACTTTGGAATGATCGATTCCCACAGCCCCAGATCGCACCCTTCTTGCTGGTATCAGTGACCCAGGATTCAGCGTCCAGGTGACGATATGGCTTTGAGATGATGACAAGATCGAGCTTCGACTCCCGCACCGTCTGCATGAGCAAGTCGTGTGGTGTCTCACAGTGGTTGAGATTGAGCTGGAGTACCTTCATCGTCGTTTGTTGAGGATCTCCTGGAGTGCCTCCTTATACACTGGACACCTACTGCCGCCAGCAGTGTAGGAACAGTCCTCCGTGTTGCCTTTCTTAGTGCACAAGGCGCATCGGGGTTTGTCTTTGCTCTCTGAAGTCTTGTGCCCGGTAGCTGAGCATTTGACGCAGAGCTTAGACCGGTCGACTGCACTCGTCTACTTCGTGGCGAGATGTCAGTAGTGCCAGCACTTGAAGCACTTTATCGGTCCCTCAACCATCCTGATACGGCAATTGACCCAGCCTATCTTGATTTTCACGTGCTCTCCCAGGATCTTCTTCGCAGCAGCTGCCGCGAGTGTCACTGAGGCAGTCTGGGTTCCTTCATATGCCTTACACAAAGACTTGATAGCCTCAGGAGCTATATTGAGCCCCTCCCCGGCTACTTTCTGTAGGGCCTCGAGGACATCCTCCTTCGATGTGGTCTCATCAAGATCCTTTATCCCCAGATCCTCCTGTTGCCCCTTACTGGGTACCTCGGCTTCATCTCCAAGAAGACTGGCGATGGTTGTACGCAGCTGAGGAGCTCCATCGACCGTCTTCCTGGTCGAGATGATCAACATATCCTCGATCGCTGTCCAGCAGATTTTATCGACACAATCTTAAGCTTCCTCTGCAGGGATATCCTTCTTTACTCGGCGGAGAATTTCAGAGTATTGCTCCTTGTCCTTGGGTCGAACAATCAGGGCATCAGGTCTGGGCGCTGGTTTCCAACGGGTCTTCTTTTGCTTCGAGGGCCCTTTCTTCTCGGACAATGGCTTTTGGAGCAGCTTCTCATCTCGTTTCTTCTTCTCTCTCTTAGACTCGATCAGCTTCCAGTCTGATTCATCACCCAGTCCCTTCCCCTGCGGGGCTGTCTTCCTGGTCAGATCCTGTTGCTTCAGCTTCTTCAGTTTTTGAGCTTCTGCTGCAGGTGAGCCTTTCGAGTGCTTCCTCCGCACTGCTTTTCGGACATCTCTCGTCTCGAGATCTCGAATTGACTGCGTGGTACTCGAATCATCTACTTCTGAGTCTTGTACCGTCGTTTCGGAGTTCGTCCGTGAGCGCGACATGTGTGGTAGTAATAGAGCCTGCACAGGTTCAGCAATGGGGACCTGGGTTTTACTACGTGCCTCCTCTGAGCCCCTGAGTCGTTTGAACGTGCTGCCGATAGATGCCACTTTGGATTTGATCTCCTTGTTGACATTAATCTTGGGCTGAACAAACTCATGGTAACTCTTATTCAAGTCGCTTCCAAGCGTGACGGTATACGTCCTCCTATTGAGTCTGTGACTCTTCCCCACTTGTAGCATTTGAGGCCAAGTGGTCCGCCTTGGAAGAAAGTGATGATTGGCTCGTCCCACAACCTGTGGAGCTGGCGTCACCCCCCGGGGCTTGCACCCCATCGGAACCGATGGCAGGATATTCCTTATTAGAAATACCTGCATGGGAACTTTGTATTTTGTCATCACTCATCATAATTATTCTACGTTGGTAAAGGGAGCCCTCCCTGTTCTCTTTATTGTAGGCGGTTCTTGGGAGCCCACCCTGCACACCTCTTTTAGAGTTGGGTTTCTCCTCCGAGATGTCCTAAGAAGGACAAGCCTCAGCTTGAACTGCTTCTTAGTTTGGGATGCAAGCCTAGGCCCCCTCCACCAACGACAAGACCCTGCAGTTCCTAGAAGGGGTGTCTGTGTATGTGGGTGCGTGCGTGTGTAGTCGACGGAGCATCACACAGGAGCGGCGTATATGTGTATCCGTAGAAAGTCAAGAAGGATTAATTCTAGGAGAAACGTCGAAAAGTATGTTTGGTTTCCAATTTAATGAGTCTTCAAAATGTTTCACTCCACAAAAAAATGACTAATTACGTTTTGTCACACCACTCTGATGAAATTTAATTTTCTCTCATCAACTTTCGACCTTCCATAAATATGATGATGAAATTGTGACCCTAAACTGCACTCCCTTAACTTGCCGCCTGCCTTATAACTTTATTGTTGATAAAAAATCAGAGTGAAATGGGGTAACTGTAATCCAAAGCTATTTTTTCCGGGGTTTAGGTCCACCAGTTATGAGCCCATTTGGATTTCCTGCGAACTTACAGGAGGGCAGCAGAGCACAGGTTACTTGTAGCGTCACTTCTGGGGATTTACCTATTCATTTTTCATGGCTCAAGGATGGGGAGCCTCTGCCATCGTCGCTCCGGGTAAGTTGAACGTTGACTGATTGATGAGTTGAGGAAATAATTATTTTGGAGGTACCAGCAAAATCCACGATTTTAAGAGTTATGAAATTTCTCTGCTGATTCATGGGCAACATAATTTTGAATGCTCGTAGCTAAAATTCACCGGATAATTTTTTTAGTCAACACCATATGACTCGTGCAATGGGTAGGTTCGAGGAGATTGATGCGACCAAATCAGTTGAAGTGTTGTCCAAATTATCGAAGTACAGACTGAAAAGATAGAGAGATATAAAATACAATTGAAATAACCTGACTTGAGTTAATTTTTTTATTTCCTTTTTAAATCCCAGGAAGATGATTTTTAAGCATTTAGCTCCTTAGCGGAACCTACAAAAATGACCACCTTCAATGTAATCTCAGATAGGATTCAAGTTTCAATTATATGACTTTGTCTCCAATTGGTGTAGAACCTTGTTTTTTCATTGAGTAAAGTTGATGAAGACCTCATCAGGAGTTTCCTTACTACTGCAAAATTCTGAAACATAAAACAACAATTTGAATACTAGGGGCAGTCACATGTTAATAAAAGATTCCTTATTTTGTGATCAGTATTTAACTTATTATGTACTGTTATGATGCGACGGCATCTGGTTCATAATTGTGGTTGAGTAATAAAGAAACCTCTGATGAGGTCTTCCTTGGAAGACAAAACGTTGAATTCATTGCAAAGAAATGATTGTTTTGCTCCTTAATTATAAATGTTCCATATTGCCGAGGATCGCTGGCGTCAATTTTTCATCATCTTCAATCAACGAATTACAGGGTGTCTTATAATATGTAACGAACAATAAATTTTGTAGTATGGAGCAAGGTAGCAGTGCAGTCTAAAGTCTAATATGTGATAGAAGGGAAGACTCTCCGTCAATTTGATTCATGCTTCAGTCGCTCGCAAATTAGGGAGTTGTTTAGCCAATTCACGACGTAATGACGCCAGGTGTCTACCCTCATTTCAATGGATCAGACAAGGATAGCATGCATCTGACCAATTTTATTCAATGCCTTTGGTAAATGGAGTGGGTGACGCCCTGCTGTAATCCATTTCAGTTTTGAAAAAATTTCTCAATTAGAATATTAAAAAGGAAAACGTAACTCATTAACTGTTATGTGTACTCATTGACTGACGAGTTGATGAGGAATTTGGTGTTGGCCTGTGCGGTCAGTGGCAAACTCGACGATGAAATAAAATAAACAAAAAAGTCTAACTACGTTGAATTACTCAGGTCATTCTCAGGGCATTATTTATTGAGATGCAACTAAAATACATGAAAAGAAATGAGAAAATTTCTTTTAAACAATCATCTTGCTTTAGCTCGAATATAAATTCAAGAGAATTATATTTATCTATTAAAATATGTTATTGAAAATACATCACAAACCTAGACGTCACTGGGCTTATGTTCGTGGGCAAGTTCAACCTATAATAATTACAGAATGATAATAAGGCTTAATACAACTAACAGTGTATTTCACCTGGAATTATAATTGATTGAGCCTTGATTCACTAGCAGTTCATATTCTTCATGTGCTCTGGAATTGCTGAATATCACCACATGACTAGGAAAATACATACCAAGACAACTTTGTACCTGTCACCACGAACATCGACACTTGACTGATACCATTGGCTTCCGGATGGATGCCGCGTTTGGTTTCAGCGTTGCGCCGACGTTGTGCAAACGTTGCGGTCTGCATCTTCAGGGCTATGAGCTCCGATTCTGAGCTCCGATGCCTGGAGATAGCTCTTATATGCCCCCCCCCCTGTGATGGTGGGTGGTGTGAGGAGAAAAGCGGGATTAGCCAATCTTTTTTAATTGATCAGCTGATCAATTCAAAAACCGGGAGGACTGTTTTCCAAATAGCGTTCACTTGATATCCTCTGTGCCCGTTGAGGTTGTGGGGGTTTTTATGGATCTCCAGGCCCTCTCGATATTTCCTCTCGAAATATCCTTGAGATTTGGCCAACATTCTTGTTTGATCATATAGGATAGTATATTCAAAGTTCATCCAGTGTTCAGCCAGTACAGACTGTTCTATGCGACCGTATTTGGAACACCGCTGGTGTTCCTAGATCCGTGTACTAATCTTCCTCCTGGTTTCTCCAATGTACATTTTTCCGCATGAGCAGAGAATCTCGTACACTTCTGGTGTGCTCAAGGGGGTCTTGGATTCTTCGCTCTTGGCAGCATTTGACCGATCTTCTTTAGGGATTGGAAAATAATTTGGATATCATTGGGTATATGACTCAATTTTTACAGATATTTCAGTAAATTTATTCAATACAAAAAATGGAGATCAACGAACTTAATCTTGAAAATATTGTCTATCCGTTTCTATGACCTTGCGTCTTCTCTCAGACAACATACGAATGCCGTCGCGAAAGAAACCTACAGGCTTCAAGGCGTTAAAGTCCTCGACGAGTTTACGCACATAGTCCAGCGTTTTGAACGATTTATCCCCTAAGGCATGCTGCATTGACCGGAACAAGGAATAGTCGGATAGGGCCAAGTCTGATGATTATGCCGCGTACGGGAGAACTTCCAATCCCAAGTTCAGGAGGGTCTTCTGAGTAGCGCAAGCAACGTGAGGTTGAGCATTGTCATGCAGCAGTATGACTTGTCAGCTTCCTTGCCCAGTAAATGACCTTTCCCGATCAAGTTCTTCGCTCAGTCTATTTAATTGTCAGCTGCAACGTTCCGCAGTCACGGTCTGACCATTTTCCAGGAGTTGGCAATAAAGCACACCCTTTATGTCCCACCAGATACACAGGAGAATCTTCTTTAAGTGGATATTCTGTTTCGGCGTCGATGTACTGGATTTCCGGGGATCTACCTACGACTTTTTACGTTTGGGATTCTCGTAAAAAATATACTTTTTATTACCCGTCACAATTTTCCACAAGAAGTTCGTTTTTTGTTGCCGGGCAAGCAGTGAAAAGCACGTGTTCATACGTTGACCTAGTTTGTGTTTGGTCAACACATGTGGGACCCACCTTCCTAGTTTTCAGATTTTTCCCATTTGATGCAACGCTTGGACATAGCTGTTTGGGTGACTCATAACTGAGCTGCAAGCTCTTGTTGCGTTTGCATTGAGTCTTCAACCAGTAGAGCTTGCAATTCCGCATCTTCAAACTTTCGAAGCTGCCCAGGGCGCGGCTGGTCACTAAGATCGCCATCACTATTTCTAAAACATGTGTACTAATAATTACACGTTTCATGAGACACAACGTCGGCACCAAGAACACTACATATTGATTCCCGTGCTTTAGAAGCATTTTTTCCTTGTTGGAATTCGTATAAAATGCAGTGCCGAATGTGCTGTTTATCAGTTACCATTGTAAACACTGCTATTCTGAGAGGTTATGTAACTCACGTAGACTTGTCATTCGGTGTTCTGATATCTTTTGTTCGATCCTTTCAAAACCACAAGTGACCGCGAAAATATTTCTATTTTAAATATAATTTCAAGCTCCAAGAACAAATCTGTAAAAATTAAGTCATATACCTAATATGTTTGCCGAGTACTTTGCTTATGCGGTCCGTTGTGCCTCTCAGATAGGGGAGGAGGGCTACTTCGAGTCTTTCCTGGTTTTCCTCAGGAATAGTCTCCTCTTGGAAAGATGACAGCTTGCTCCGCAGCTTCTGCTTGATCTTTCGAATTTGTTGGATGCTATATCCATTCGTCGTTCGAGCTGTCGCAAGATTTTCTACTTCACTGCTGATTTTGGAGGGTTGAGAGATTGTCAGTGCTCCGTACATTAGGGAGCTAATGACGGAGTTCTTTTGGGAGGGATCGTAATGGAAGGTAGTATTGAGATACCCATATGTGTGAGTAGGCTTGCGATACACCTCATGGCTTAGAGTGTCATCCTGATTGCATCGAATCAGGACATCCAGGAATGGGAGCCATCCATCTTGTTCAATCTCCATGGTGAACTAGATGCTCGTATGCTGAGAATTCAATTCCAAGGAACAGTTTAAACCAGTCTTCCTATGTGGTCGAATGACAAAGGTATCGTCCACATACGTGAACCACACATTATGTTTCAGAGGTGCTGACTTCAATACTTCTTTTTCAAAGTGTTCCATGAATATATTTGCAATGATCGGGGAGATGGGCTTACCCATTGCTGCTCCTGATTTTTGCTTATAGTACTCTGCTTTGAACTGTAAATATGTAGAATTCAAGCAGTGCTCAATCAAGGGCAAGAATTGGGAAAGGATGTCCGTGAATTTTCTAATGATTTCCAAGTTTTTTGGAATTGGGACATTTGTGAAGAGGGATTCCACATCAAAACTCACTAGAATATCATCCGCAGAAGTCCTGAGCTTTCTCAGTTTATTAACGAAATCCAGTGAGTTCTGCATGTATGAACCATTTAAGCTAGTCAATTTTCGGAGTGCTTCCGTAAGAAACTTGGCTAGTTGGTAAGTTGTCGCTCTAATGTTGCTGACAATGAGATGGAGAGGAATAGACTCTTACGGATTTTGGGGAGTTCAAAGAGTATGGGGGAAAGAGATACTTTAGGAGTGAGTACTTTTGTCGGATCGGCCGAGAGACGAGCCTTCCTCAGGAGATCATCAGTTTTTCCCTTAATTGTACGAGTCGGATCCTTGCTGAGTTTACTGGCAAGACTGGAGTCGCCCAACATTGCACTGAGCTTTACGGAGTAGTCGTCCTTGTCCATAACCACCGAGGCATTGCCTTTGTCCGCAGGCAAAATAAATAATAGGAGAATAATGATGTCATTATTCTCTTTTTGACTATAAAATGCAAGACGTTTCTCCCTGATGATATTGTCACTACGGGGAGTGGCCTTGTGGAGGATGTTGGACATCTGCCTCCCGATTTCATTGTTGGTCTCCTGAGGAAGATGGTAGATCGATGTCTCGATCCGACTACTCATTTCCTCAGTGGGAATTTTCCTGGGGGCAACATCGAAATTGTGTCCTTTCGCCAATACTGACACCTGTGCTTCATTGAGCTCATACTTGCCCAAATTCTTCGCAGTGTGGGTGAGGGTCGGGATTTTCTCCTGGGGGATGAGCTTTTTGAACGTACCCTTCTGATTCTCCATCCTCATCTCAGCTTGTCAGACTGATTGTTCATGTGTAACACGATCAACAATCTCCCGGAACTGAGAATCGAACGTTTGAGCCAGAAGATCCAAGAGCTGTTTGGAGAGATGGGCCAGATTCTTCTTAGCCGCTGATATTCTCTCCTTGACGAGTCTCAGCGAAGCTTGGCGGAGTCCTGACGATGCAGACTGCAATGTTTGTGAAAAGTCGGTGTAACGCTGACACCAAACGCGGCATCCATCCAGAAGTCAAGGAAATCAATAATCATGGCCGCGTAAGTCTCAAAACTAAGATCGACACTTGACTGCATGCGATATCAAACGTTGCTTAGTGAAAAATGAGAGCTCACGACTAATACAGTGATCAACATCACATTGTATTATTCCTACAGCTACAGCTAGAAGGCGCTCCTAATCAAATCGTATCAGAGTGAGTAAACCCTTTTAACCCAGAATTTAAATGATCACGAATGATGTGTAAAACTGTCAATAATTAAAAATAGACGATAAATTCCCAATTATGAGTTCAGCCATTGAAAACCGCAAATAATTGAGTTAAATGAAAAAGGTAAACTTTTCACGTCAGTTCTGTAGTTAGCACTTGAAGTCTAATACTACTCAATGCGGAAAATTTGTAGAGTATTTCTCTTGCACGGAGAGGCCGGCTGATGTCGGACACCGACAGCATCAAGCCTTGATGTATTTGAAGGGTGCCACTAGTGGTGCCCCTCAAAAACCTAGGGGCAGATGCCCAAAAAAGGGAGAAATTTCGTCGGACAGATTTAGGCATAACATACGTATAAATTCCCAACAATGAATTTTTCGAAATGGCGCTTCAGTCGAGTGGCAGTGCGTCAGTACGAAAATTTCTGACACCGACTGTCTCACGCCTTAGGTCAGGCGCTGACGGGTATACATTAGAGGGTTTCCAACAGGGACTGAGAACGCGTTCCCATTCCGGCTCCTGTTTTCCACTGAAAGAACTACATGGAACGAGAACGTTCTTATGAAGAACGAAATGTCGAGAACGTTCTTGCAATAAACGACATGAGAACAGGAACGTTCTTCTGAGAGCAAAAGTCGGGAACGAGATGAGGAGAACGTTCTTGCAAATAACAAAATGAGAACGGGAGCGTTCTTTCAAAGAACAATCAATGTATTGACGGCGGAAAGAATAAGACAACACTCAGTGACATGCTCACTGTCATATGGCACGCTGTCTCCTGCTTGTTTATTTTTTCACCTGAAAATATGGATTTCTGGTAAAAAGACATTCAAATTTCAAAGTGTGCTGAGCATTTGGGCATGTACAGTCGATTTGTGGATTTCAAAAAATTCTCAAAAATTTTGGATTCCGTGCGAATCTTTGGAAATTTTTCTTGTCTGAATTCTACTCATTTACGAAGAATACTAGCTCCTTTCAACGTCCCTAAAAACTGATAAAATTTTCAGTCAAATGAAAAGTCATACACTGAATCATTGGTCGATAATTGGTGGAGTATGTCATAAATTATTGGAGCAATACTTAGAAGAAACATTGAATATGATGAATGCGAGAAAAATCACGTACAGGCGAAATTTATGGACGATGGTTCCCTTTTTTTTCATCATAGAGTGAATTTTCTCGGCTCGCAAATTTTTCACGCGCTCAACCCTCTTGGTGTACCACAAACAGTACCAGTGGTCATCATATGTGTGACACTCACCCTCAACGCGTACTCAGACCGGGTTGTCCTCAGGTAGAATTTTTCTTTTTTTTATACACGTACATTTCATCATGCTTTTCTTTGACCAATTACATCCTAGGACAGTTTCAACGGTTCATACAGCCAATAGAATTTTGCAAAATCCTTTCTACACTGTATGGCAAGGACTAGAATTAGAATTAGAATTAGAATATGCGTGGCTGGTCACTTAAAGCGCCCAGAGTCACCTAAATCATACGATCTTTTGTAACATCCGACTTAGTTTCGGTCAGTCACTCAGCCCCAGCCCTGTGTTTCTCACTAGGCTAATAAGGCTGGTGACAGCCGCTTGTTGTAAGTCCTCTGGTTCCAGGAAAGCCTGGCCCCAGACTTTATACCGACGGAGTGCTAATAGGGGGCATTCACATAAAATGTGGATGACGTCCTCCTTATCGCCTCCGCACAGTCTAGTCTGCATCCCAGCTAATAGCCTGACTAGAGTAGCCGAGGCTGCTTTGCTGTGATGCAAATTTATCTGTACAATGTGCACCCGGGTTGCAGCCACAATGATGACTACTTTCCTGTTACCTCTATGTACCCTTCTTCTGACTTTCACGACGGTCTTTCGCAAGCAGCTTGACAGTTGCTTTTTGAATCCCGCAGTGCAGCCTGAAGTTGCAGCCTTTCAGAACAGAGAGTGATCGGCCGTCCATCAGCGCACCGAAGTGGGCATTTTTCCAGTCCCTGCTCTCATTGCTCCGAGTGACAACCCACTCTCTGGCCTGCAGTCCTGCATTCTGTTTCTCAAGGAAGCACAGTGCTTTTTGAGCGGTTAGATCTGGGTTGATGCAACTTCGCTCTTTTGCGACGTCTTCTCTCGGCTCCACTCAGTCTAACCCGATTCACATGGGCACCAGACTGGTCAGCCTTGTCAGACTTCGTGTGTTCGCCATGGCTGGCCCCACCCGAAGTTTCTTTTTCAATACTGAGATTTTTTTAGATTGGTTTCCATTTTTGGTCCCACGAGTACCGCGGTTAAGCGTTTTCACCTGGTGCATTACCGTGATTGCCCAGGGCTTGGCTTGTCTTGGGAGGGTTACACCCAAGACTACTCTCAGAGGTCGCCCAGGTTTCTGAGAGGCACCGTTAGCGACACAGCTCCCCCTGTGCTACGCATCCTTAGGCACGGTATGGCCGAGGCCCTGGCTTACGCCGCTCACACACATGGATTGTCAAGGACTAAATCTCTTCCGAAAATCATGAAAGTCAGTGCACTCCCAAGAGTCCACTAGTTCACATCACGATCAGCCACAACGCATTGAAGGAAAATTATGGAACAGTGTAGGAAGTTAAGATGATGAATTACGATACGAGTGAAGTTTTTCGTCATTCAGGCCCGTTAGGTAGCGCCTACTATAGCTGTCTTGAGGGAAGCTAAATGGCGTTTAACAGACCAGGTCTGTTAAACGAAGCACAGGTATGGTTAACTCGAGTTAGCAGCCCTAGGACAATAAAAACATACAGTTTCTAGATGGGCAACCCACAAAACCTTCGTAGGAATACAACATGAAGTGTGCGGTTATCGCTGTCACTTGCTTGAAAACTCGGCGGATCGTTCACCACTAATACGATGCGCCACCGTCATTGCCGATGACATCAGGAGTTGTTATTCCGTTGCTAGGGAGTCAGTCGTAACTTGAGGGTTATATTGTCAAAATATTAGTTTAATAAAGAGATTATATTCACTTTCTCGTTATATATCTATTTTGAATAGATTATATATATATTTCTATTAAAATGTGATGAAAAATTTGAGTATGTTGTGAGAAGAAGAGGAACGATGAAAAAGAAAAGTTGTAAACTGTAGATGTTCACACGTTGATTTTCTCATGAGAATAAATTTAGAAAAATGATTAATCCTTCTTTTTATTCTTTCAATTTGTTGCAATTTCCATTTCAGGAGGAGGAAGATTTCCATTCTCATCTAGATGTTTTTTGAATGTTTTTGACAGACTCCGTGAATTACAACTTTTGCATTCGTTCTTTCGAATCTCAATTTAGGATTTTGCATCTCTTTTTCTTCAATATTTTCTCTTCACTTGTCATTTCGTTTTTCTACAGTGGGGGGGGCTTCGCCCGCCTGCGGCCCCTGGACCCCGCTTCTGCG